CAGTTCCATAGCATACAGTGTCATACAATTCTTTGGCTTTTGGCATCCTTTTATTCCTTCTACTACATTTTGTTTTGGTAGTTTTCCTGACTGATGTTGTTAGTTATCATTCAGTTGCCTCCGACTCAGGACAACCTTCTATGTAACGCAATAAGATGTTTATTACCTCGTCCATCTCCATCTTCGGGATCAATTGATAGGTTGCGTCTACTGCTATGCTGGTGTGTCCCTCATATCGTTTAACGGTTTCCCTCGTTTTCACTGGTCGGCTACGTGACCAAACGTGATGGTCTGTTCTAGAGATTGGTCTTTCCTGACTATGTGACCAAAGTAATAAAGTTAAACGCTTCCATCCTCGCTTCTGTGAAACCTTCTGGTTGTATTTCTTCTAAGACTGTTTTTGGGGATATATATGTTTGATATGGCATAGTCAATATTCTTCACCACCACAGTTCAAATGCATTCATTCTTCTGTCTTCCTTTTTCATATCTCGACTTTTGCGTGCAGATGAAGCAATTGAAAAAATCATGACTTGGGTCACATGCCCTTTAGTCCTCAAAGTGACATCTTTGCTTTTTAAAAGTTGAAAGAGCTATTTGCAGCAGATTTGTCCAGTGTAATACTTGATTTGATTTGTGGACTGCCTCCAGGGATGTTGATTGTTGATCCAAGTGAATGAAATCATTGTCAGCGATTTTTTTTTTTCTGCCTAGTCCTTCAGAATGAATGGAAACATAGTCTGCAAAGCTCTACCCAATTCCTCAGACCTAATTGTTCCTTCTCCCCGCGCTATCCTCTGTCCTCCCGTCTGGTGTATCACTTGTAGCATTGCCTGGTGAAGGGTCGTTTCTCTGGTTCCCCGTCTGAATAGCAGGCTCTCACCACTTGGCCCAGGCATTGGCAGATAAATAACCCGACTGACTCTTTATTAATGTATGTTGCTCTGGGCCATAGTTGTGTAAGCATAGAGCATTTTGAGTGCTTCTTTATCCCTTATGTTTGAAAAGTAACATCAAAGAATGTTTTTGTGATTCTAGTGATTATTGACGTATCTTCTATTAAACAGATTTATTGAGGGCTAGTTTCTATAATCACAAAATCTATCTGTTTTACAGTTTAATGGTTCTTAGTGATTTACAGTGCTGGGCAGCTACCATGATAATCCAGTTTTAGAACTTTCCACGCCCCCCACCCCCAGAAAATCTCAACTAAGTTAGTTTTTAACATAGATGGGACTGTCCAAACCTTCTGTGTTCTTAGTTGGACTGGATGACCTCAAAATGCACCACTGTTTTGGGCTCTAATTAATAGAGCACAACTGTGCTTAAAGACAGGCCTGGATAGATACTTTGTTGTTGTTAGGTGCCATTGAGTCACCACCGACTCATAGCGAACTTATGCACAGCAGAACGAAACAATGTCCAATCCTGGGCCAACCTCACTACTGTTGCCACACTTGAGTTGTTGTTGTTAAGTGCTGTCAAGTTGGTTCTGACTCAGAGTGACCCTTTTTAGGGTTTCTGAGGAGCATCTGGTGGGTTTGAACCACCGACCTTGCAGTTAGCAGTCCAGTGCTTATCCAACTGTGCCACGCCAGGATATATACTTAATGTAGTCTGTCCTAAACCTATATACTACATGCTGACAATGACTCTGCATTACAATGACCCTGTCCAACAGAGTAGAGTGGTCCGCAGGGTTTCCTGGGCCGTCATCTTTGTGGGAGCCGGTCACCAGGCCTTTTATTCAGAGGAGAGGCTGCTGGGTTGGAACTACCAGCCCTTCTGGTTAGCAGTTGGGCTCTTACCATGCTGACAGTGTGGATACTAATTTCCCTTTAAAGGGCTACTCTGTGCTGTGTCTTGTATATCCATGACCTCAGTTGAGATTCAGGGTTGTTGTTGTTGTTAGGTGCCATCGAGTCGGTACTGACTCATAGTGACCTTATGCACAGCAGAATGAAACACTGACAAATCCTGGGCCAACTTCACTGCTGTTGCCACGCTTGAGTCCATCGATGCTGCCACTTGGCCAGTCCATCTTGTTGGGTATCTTTCTCTTTTTCTCTGACCCGCCACCTTACCAAACATGATATCCTTCTCCAGCGACTGCTCTCTCCTGACAATACGTCTGAAGTATGAGAGACGAAGTTTGGCCATCTTGGCCTCCAAGGAGCACTCCAAGCTGCATTTCTTCCAAAACGGATGTATTGGTTCATTTGGCAGCCCATGGCACTTTCAGTATTCTCTTCCAACACCATAACTCAAAAGCATCAATTCTTCTACATTCTTCCTTATTCACTGTCCAGCTTTCACATGCATATGAGGTTATTGAAAATACCATGGCTTAGGTCAGGTGCACCTTAAGAGGGTAAATAACCTATAATGTGGATGCCTTCTTCGTGTTTCATACATACAGACTCTGAGGAGAAAGATAAGGAACTTACTCAAGGTCACACAGCTACAATAAGATTGAACCAGAAGAGCACAGAGTCACCCCAGGGAAACTTCATATTATCCAGAGGTCCCAAACATGACAGAGAAGTTGTAGGAATTGTAGCTTTTTGGGGAGGTAGGAAAGGATCCATGGCGGTGCTAGAGGCTAAGCACCGGACTGCTAACCACATTAGTGGTTTAAACCCACCAGCAGCTCCGTAGGAGAAAGGTGAGGCTTTCTGCAGCTGTCAAGATGTATAGCCTCAGAAACCCTATACAGGGTCATTGTGAGTCCAAACTGACTCAACAGCCCACAATAACAACAGCAGTGTAAGAGAAGGGAAAGAAAGACATAGGATTCTTCAGGCCAACTGTTTATGGCTTTTCCTTTTCTTACCTGGGCCAGGATATTCGGCCAATCCAGATTCATCTGTTGTAATGATTCCCTTAGACTTTAAAGATACTTCTTGGTATGTTTGTCACACAGTGCAAACTCGTCTTTTTACTGGAGAAGGGTATGCAGCAACTCTGAGGCTGACATTTGGGTTGTGAGCTCCACATAGCAGAATTTTCTTTAGTGAAACCTGGATGACTTTTTCTTTCTTTAAAATAGTTCTTGGGGTCGGTGGGCGGCATGCAGGATTTTTTTTTTCCCCCTCATTATACTCTTTTTTGTTTTAATGATTTATTGTGAATTATGTGATAGTTTACATGGGAGAACATTAGTTTTACATTCATTCTATTGTATATCATCTCATTGCCATGGTTACAATCCCCTCCATGCAATCCTTCCCCCGTGCCCCTCAGGTCTTCAGCACACAGTCGCTCTCCCTCTCTGGATCCAAAGTCTCCAGCTGCTCCATAGCTCCACGTCATCATCTCTGGCTCCATTTCAGGCATCACTGCTTCTCTCCGTAGAGTCCCGCTCTCTGCTCTTCTCCCTTGATGGTCCTCGGGACCTCCGCTCCCAGACCGAAAAGTCAATCACTCCCCTCCTTGCTATAAAACGTCCACCTTTACACTTCCAACCCTCACAGTCAGTCCTGATAACAAACAAACAAACAGTCCTGTATCACAAGAGACCCGTCTGCATTTCATTGCATCAGCCCCGCCTAGTCAGATTGAATACTACTCACTGGAGATTCTACCTTCCTCCAGGCCCTCTGGGTCTAGGTTCCCTCTTGAAAGCTTGTAAGCCAGTCACTTCTTGCCTTTGTAGCCCCCCACCCCCCATTTTGGGTAGCCAGTGTCCAAGTTGCCCATCCCTGTCTACTCTGCGTGTGGAGGGGGTGGGAATGATTCTCGCTGTAAAGACTTGTTCCCTCCACTCATACTCTTAAGTGCTCTGATGAATACATTATGGTACTCAAGATGTTCTTTTTGTTGTTTTGACTCATAGCGACTCTGTATAGGGTTTCCGTGGCTTTAAATCTTCGCGGAGCAGAAAGCTTCATCTTTTTCCCACAGGCTGGAACCATGGGCCTTGTAGTTTGCAGTTCAGTGCTTACCGTATAGATCCACCGTGTTCCCTCAGATAGAAAGCTTGAACTCTGTATGCTTGGCATGCATTCAAACCTTTCTGCTACAAACCATTTGCGTCTTAAAGACCTGATAATATCTAAAAGTTAGAAATTCATGTTCTAACCTCAATATTAAACTGCGATGTGACCCTTACTAAGCTGTTGGACTTGTTTTCTTGGTTACCACGTATCTTAAAAAGTAGCCTCTCTTATCATATCATATGTATTTAGTCAACAACTAGGAATTCTTGTAAAAATTTATCTATCACCTGTTCATCACATGTTACTGGAGAGCATAGATAACCTTAATTTCTAATAGGATGCGTTTTATTCACTACTAGCTAGACCAACAAGAGGACTGAATGGGAAGGTACACTGAATATTGGCCAATATGTTGCTTGATACCATTCTTCTAAAGGTTTTTGTTTGTTTGTTTGTTTTTGATTGGCAAAGATAGAACTCTAGGGATCCGAAAGCAAAAGTAGTTGTGGTGTGGATCTTTCTCGTGATAAATACATCTTTTCCTGGAATGCATTTTGCAAGGCGTAGATGTCACCGTACATTCTTCATTACTTGGGGATCTCTGTGCCAGTATTAAGGATGGATTAAGCATTGGACTGCTAACCGCAGAGTGGTCACTTTGAACCCTCCAGCTGCTCAGCGGGAGAAAGAGGAGAGCACCTGCTCCCATAGTCTTAGAAACATTGAGGAGCAGTTCAACAACTTATCTCGTTGCTGTGAACCAACTTCAGTGGCGGTGGGTTAGGCTTAGCACTACTATTGCAGGTGAGGCCAGACTGAATGTAGCCAGGTTCACTGAACGTATTCCCAGTATTACCGCCAGTAACTTCATCTCATTCCTTTTTACGCACTCGTAACCCAGCTGAATTATAGAGTATACCAAAGAAACTGCTGTGTGTGCAAGTGCTGCGTGGTTTGGGGATTCCTTCTTGACTGTGGGCGGAGTGGGTTTTCCTCCCTATGTATCTGTGTGTCCCCTGCATCCTCACTCAACTACAACTATCTTGTTTCTCTCTCTTGCAGATGACACAGTTGGTGCTTCCTGGCATGGTAGAAAGGTGAGTCACAAGCTCACACAACAAACCCTATAGAGGCAGAGCTCATGATTATTTACAGAGGAGAATCCTTTCTGTGAAAAATTCATTAAAGTGACTAATGAACCTAGTCTCCATGTCTTAGCGACAGAGTAATGTGCTGGGCGACTCACACGGTGGAGCGTGAGTCATCGAGTGGTGGAGGCCTTTTCCCCTCGATTCCCTTTTTATTTGCCTCTCCAGGGTTGTGGTGGTTCCTTTAGATCAGGATTAAAAAGCCTGCCTGAGTCACCATCACTAACTCAATTGCCAGCTATTCTGAGGGGGTGGAGAGAGTTCCTGGGTTGTTCCTGGGAATACCTCCTTAAAGCTGCACACACTTTGCAGTCAGAGCCCAGTTGAGTAGCGTTTCACCCAGCCAGGCCCCGTCCTCTAGCCTGTCTCTTTTTCCTGGGAGAAGGGGCATATGCTAAACTTAGCCCTGCTCCTGAGTCATTCTAAAACATCAAACCAGCCCTTGGAGGAAAAGGCCCCTTGGGTGTTCTCGTTTGGATTGGGTTCTCTAGGACACAGTGTGGAGCCCTGGTGTAGGGTAAGCACTGGGCAACAGTTCAAACCCACCAGCTGCTCTCGGAAACCCTATACATGGTTGCTATGAGTCAGAATTGACTCAACAGCAAAGAATAGGACACAATTTTCACCTTTATTGAGAAATGTGTGGTAGAGGTCTTATATTTGAACTAGCATGAAATGTGAAATTGTGATCAAGTTCTGCTCCTGCCATGGAAAAGCCTGAATGATGGCTAGGCCTTCAGAGAAAACCTACTGAAAGAGCTGAGCTAGTACCTTGAGCTAGCTTGGTCATTTGCTACATGTAGGACTTTCTGATCATCCTTCCGCTGTATAAAAAGGCTAGAAGTTTGGAAGAGACCCAGAGGATTTACACCGTTGAAAATGGATGAATCAAGGACCCTGCTTCTGTGAAGAAGCCTGTAAGACCAGTTCTAAGCGGGGTTGTGGCTAACGTTTACTCATCTAACTTTGATGGGCTCCTGTTACTACTATGCAGATGAGAATCTGTTTCCTTTAGCGTCTATGGAAGCTGGTTGAGGAACTGTTGCTCAGTAAGACTCTTGATTTGTAATTCCATCTTTTTTTTTTTTTTTTAATTAAATGTTTTTATTTTGGATTGAATGAAAGTTTACAAGGCACATCATCAGCTTCACATTCAATCATTCATATAGCTTGTTTCATTACATTGATTATTATCCCC